AGCTGCGCGCGATTCGAGGACATCTTTCTCATCGGGTTGTCGTTCCAGAAGATTATAATTAAATTATTTGGGCTGAGACCAGAGACGAGAAGGGGCAGCGATCCAGATCTTGATTGCGACGGGCTTGACTCGAGCGAGGGGCGGGTGCTGAGCTGCCGGTCGTTGGAGGAATCCGGAAACAGGTCAAAGGATGTCATGATCCGATTCCAATGGCAAGTTGATGGTGTTCTTACACCACCGACGCGCATGAGAGCTGTTCTTGCGCCGCATTCGAGTCTCTTCGGGGAGCTGATCTTCGACGAAACGAAACGAAGCAGCCCAGGCCGGAGGCGAGGACGTCAGCGCAAGAGACAGGAAGAAAGCGGAGATCAGTAACGGTCACATCAAGATTCATCACTCAAAACTCAAGTCACCCGTGAGCTCGGCAACCGCTGAGCATTTGGAGAAGCCTTGGACTTGCCTTGGACACGTCGCCCAAGCTATTTGGACAGTCTCCAAAGGGCTCGCCGCCTTGAAGTAACCAAGGGGCAACCGACCAAAAAAAACCTCCAAGCCTGCTGGATAACGTTGTCTTACAACATCGCGAGATACGAGCGAAGATCGTTGTACCGTCTGCCACCAGGGCGATGAAGCAAACGGAAAACTGGCTGTGACACATGCGTGCTGAGGATGCACTACGCTGAGTCGACAGATGTAATCTTCCAACAATGTAAAAGAACCTGCGCGTCTTCCGCGTCCCACGGTGCACTCATGAGCCCATTCTAACATCGAACTTAGATATCGAGTCCGGGATAACGACTCCGCGGGGACAAGAAACCAATGCGAATTGGACTGATTCTGCAGAGCACCGCGGGGAGTCGAAACCCATTTCGCCGAGTATATTTTCCATTGCATATTCCACCAAAGATGCCAGCGCGTGTTCAGTGCACGATGGTGCGTTCCTCTTCTTCCCTACCCTCTACAATTAGCGAAAGCATCCGAGAGGAGCGAGCCACTGCTCAGCCAGAAAAATACAACCATAATGTCAGTGCACCGCGGGGAATCGAACCCCATCCCGCCCAACATAACTTCTTTTCAGTCAGAGCAAGAGCCGGCGTGTGGTCTGTATAAGACGGTGCGTTCTTCGTCCTCCGCAAGGAATGACCCCTGCCCAGTCACGACCATCGAAGACCCAACACCGGGACGAAGAAAGTCCCGCATCAATGAATTGCACCGTAAAAGTGAATGCTACATGCGGACGAGGTGCGCATAAGCAAGCAGGCAGCAAAGAAATAATTACACGTATAACTAACTAACTAACCGAACGACGGATATCCGAGTCCTCCCAGAATAATTACAGTCCCTCCCTCAATTAACAACACCCACTCTTCCCCTCCTTCCCCTTCTTCTGCCCCTGCCCCAGCGCATTCCCATTCCCCATCGTACTCAATCTCACCCTTGGATCGTCCTCCCACCCCATCGCGCGCTCCCCCTCCTCGCACCCGCGCACAAGCCTCCGCGCAACCCACGCAAACACGTCCCCCACGCCCGCGCCCGTGCGCGCGCTGACGCGGAAGTGCGCGGCGCCGGCCGCGCCTGGCGCGGGAAGGTCGGGTTCCGCGAGCCACAGGTGCTCAGTCGTCGCGGTACTCGCATTCGCGGTAGCGGCGTCACCGTTCCCCCTGCGGACCGGCCGACGGCGCCCGCGCGGGTGCGTCGGCGAGGCCCCGCCTTCGTCCGCGTGCGCCTCGGGAGCTGGCGCGGCGATAGCGGTGGCGAGCCCCGCAAGCGAGGAAGTGAGCGATGCGGACAGCACGCGCGCGGCGCGTGGGAAGTGCTGTGGGTAGGGCAGCGGGCTGAGCGCGGAGCTCGAGGGGCCCGCGTCGGCGGGGGTGTAAGGCGCGCTGGGGGCCGTGTCGATCGGGGGCGGGGAGGGTGGCTTTGCTTTCGGGTTCGAGGTGGGGCTGGAGACTGAGGTGGGGGGGCTAGATGCGGAGGGCGAGAAGGACTGGGAGGACGGGGAGCGCGAGCGCGAGTCGGAGGCCGATGAGAGGGATAGCGAGCGGGAGGAGAGGGAGAGGGAGCGCGCGAGGGATGTTCGCGCGGACGCGGGGGTGACGGTCGCTTCGGAGGCGCTCCGCGCGCTGCCGTGGTCGTACGACGACTGCGCGGAGTGGTAGTATTCGGAAGCGCCGTCGCTGAAGACGGAGGAGGAGGGCGTGTGGTAGATTGTGAGCGTCGAGGTGAGGGTGCTGGCGCGCGAGGCGGAGGCGGAGGGGTGCTTGCGGTGTGCGGTGAAGGAGGGAGTGTGCGCGCGGATGGAGATGGGCGCGGGCGGAGATGGAGGTGCGGGGCGCGCGGTGAGCTCCGACGAGGCGAGCGCGTCGTCGGCGTCCTCGTCCTCCTCATCCTCGTCATCCTGCCCCTCGTCGTCGTCGAGCGTGAGCGCCAGCGCTCCGGGCGACGCCGGCGGCGTGTCCAGCCGCGGCACGAGCGCCCGCACAAACCGCGCACCCTGCGCCGGCGACACCACCGCGCCCGCCCCGTCTGTGGAAGCCACGCCCTCCACCAGATCGAGCTTGTTCCCCACCACCACCACGCAGAACCCGCGCAGGTCCGCGTCCGCCACGGGCGCCTTGGCGCGGAACTCGGCCCACCAGTTCGTCAGCGCCTGCAGCGTCTCGGGCGCGGTAAGGTCGTACATGAGCACCGCCGCATCGGCGCCGCGGAAGAACGCGGAGGCGAGCGAGGAGAAGCGCTCCTGGCCGGCGGTGTCCCAGATCTGAAGCACCACGGGCTCGCCATCGGGGGTGGAGGGCGGGAGTGTCTTGGTGATAAAGTCGGCGCCGATGGTCGCGCGGTAGGAGGTCGAGAAGCGCGCGGAGATGTACTGGAGGGAGGGAATGGGTAAATGAGCTGATTAGGACGAAAAGGGGGAGGGGGACGCACCTGGCCGCGGAGGCTGGTCTTGCCCACGCCAGAAGCACCGATTACTACGACCTTGAATGTGGGCATGAAGCAGGAGGGATGAGAAGAGGACAGCGCAGAGACAGTGAGCGCATCAAGAAAGGGAGATTGATGGCAAGTCACGGAGAGTCACCACTGAGTGACATGCACCGCCACTGCGACAGCTTGATTGCTTGGAGAATCAATGAAGATGGAGATTAATGGAAATGAGGATCAAGTCAAAGATGGAGGCGGGTTTTGAAGAGGATAGGCTAAGAGGGGAACGCGAGAGAAGTTAGAACAGCACGAGATGTAGACGAGGAACGATTTCCGATCAGAATCGACTCGCGACTCCTTGTGGCCAATTTGAGGCATCCGAAGTGTGGGAGCTACGGGGGGTGGAGGATGGAGAAACCGAGGCCGAGGCCGAGAATAAGGAAGCAGAAGACGAGAGATTTGGGAGGAGGAGGTGGTGGTCAAGAGCAAGACGGTCGCCACTGATCAAGACTTCCGCGACAGCTTCAAGATGAAGATCAGTGAAGCTGGGGATCAAGGAAATGGGGGAGGCAGGAGAAAAAAGAGGGAAGAGAACGGCGGAGTTCGGGAAAGATCAAGGCAGGGTGCGCAGGCAGAGGGCGGTGAGAATAAATTATAGTATTGCGGAACTAGCAAAGGGGCCCTGCCACAGCACACGAAGTCGGATACCATTTTTGCGATCTGAATCCAGTTCCGATGGCATCCGAGCAACGCAAGTGCAGAAACCACGAGAAAGGAAGACAAGGATTCGCAGCATATAACACGGAGGAGGAGCAGGAGGTGATGGTCAAGAGAAAAAGCCCGAGGCGCCACGACACTGTCTGGACTTGGAGTAGATTGGAGGGGCCATCAAGTCACGGACTTGAGAAACCTGGGTAAACTTGAGCCACGTTTGAAGCTTGCAGTTTGGCTGGAAGAGGGAGCAGGATATGATGGTCAAGAGCAAAAGGCTGCACGACGTTATCCACGTGGCTTTGACTCCAAGGTGGCATTGCCGCAGCAAGCGCTGGATGCAGGATAAAATGGCAATTCAGTCGAGGAGTAGGCTTGAGGAAGATAACTAAGCTTGAGGCAGGTTTGAAGAGGTCCTTGCGCGACGCGTCGAAGGCTGAGCGGCGGTTGCCGAGGTCACGGGTACGCCACTGTGACTTGCAGCCACCGTCACGGATCTTCCGCTTTCTTCCGTGTCTCTTCCGCTTTCGTCCGAGTCTGGGCTTGGCTGTTGCGTCCCTCACTGTGTTGTTGTCCCCCACCCCGAATTTCTAACGCTCAAATGTAATCGGACAACACGGCTCGGCATCAACTCCTCGGAATCGTCGTGTCTTGGGCGCCTCCCAAGTTCCAAGTTCCAACGCTCCAGAACCTCGGAGTCCTCGCCTGCTCTCCGAGCTCCGTTTAAAGGGCCAAAGGTCCTATGGAAATAACGCCTTCGAATACCGCGCAGGACCAGTTTCTCTACGCATCGGTGGTGTAAGAACACACGTCAGCATCTTGCGATAGCGGCCCCGACCGCATTTGTCTGACGAGCTCGGGGTTCGACTCCCCGACGGTGCCATGTTGCATATTTTGTAGCCGTTCTCTTTTGCTTCTCTGGAAGCAATTCGTTCCTCGAGGCCCGTTATGTCGACACCTGGATCGCTGTCTCGTCTTGGATACAGGCCCTCCCGGATTCAGAGCTTCTTGCAACAGACACGGAATAACACATGCAGTGCTGTCGAATACTGCGCAAATCCATCCATCCTGTGCACCGGTGGTGTAGGAACACCCTTCAGCATCTTGAATTTCTCGTAGGATTCTCCTGATGAGCTCGGGGTTCGACTCCTCGTCGGTGCCCTGCTTGAGGACCACATAAGTATTTTTTCTTTCTCATTCGTCGATGCTCTTCCCTCTGCTCATGCAACGACTTCTTGTTAGATTTCTATCCTAGTCGCTCATGGTCATCTGTGATGCTTCAAAATCCCAACGCTGATAACTCGGCTCGCTGCAAGTAAATTCGGGATTAGAGGCCTTCGAATTGCGCGCACACTCGGTCTCACTACGCACCGGTGGTGTAAGAACACGCGTCAAAGTCATTGTCGTTGTTTCGATACTTGATCATGACGGAGTCGGGGTTCGATTCCCCGTCGGTGCCATAGCTTGATCGCAAACACTATTTTTTTCTCGCTGGATAGGATGCGTAGGCATTTGTCGAACCCTGCTCTTTCCCCTTCGAAAGGACATCGGAATGTGCTTCAATATCCTGAGTTAGTTTCACCTATCCTCCGCCAAACCCCTAAGGTAATTTCACCACACCTCACCTCAGTCAGTTTGCTCTCACTGCGCACCGGTGGTGTAAGAAGACGCGTCAATGTCATGGCCGTTGTCTTCTATACTCGATCATTACGAACTCGGGGTTCGAATCCCCGCCGGCGCCTATTTCTGCTACCTACCTACCTACCTACCTGGGCTAGTACTTTTATCACCCGCTGTTCAGTACCCCGCGGCCCACCCTCGAAGCCTTCTTCTCCGGTCCCTCAAAATCGCGTCCTCCATACTTAGGCTCGGATATTATACTGCCCGTAATACACCGGTGGTGTAATGGCATGCGTCAAATCTTTGACCAATAGACCGAGTTCGTGGGCGAATACCCACCGGTGCACAGTGGCTTCGAACGCGGAACCCGTTGCCGAAATAGAATCCTTCCATGGTGTCGAACCTTGAAGATCTCACGATTCCCATCTTATGTGACTCCGATGCTGGTGCCGCCGTCTAGGATGATTTGGGTTTATCCGCGGGGTCCTTGCGTCCAGATGTATATTTCCTTCGACCAAATGAACCCACTGCCCCCCAGAGCCTTCGTCAACCCGATTTTACTGGACTGCGAGCCAGTGCTTGGCTACCTTCGGCGGACTGGCGCTTGGGACAGTTGACTGGAATATGGTACGCAACACGCTTTCTAGTATTCTCAGCTCTTTATATGACGCGCGTGCTGAGTTGACCTCTCGGACATATAATGATTCCTCGTCGAGAGTAAATAGTCCCGCCGTAGGCAACGGCCACAGACAACGTCCAGTCGCATAGTAACCCCTATGTGTCGAGCTCTTTGGCATCATTTGGCATTCACGTGGTTGTGGGCTTCCTTTTTCCTTCTTCCTCCGACGACAGCGAGTCGCGCTTGGTTTCAATGCATCGCGGTCTCGGTGTCCCTGAAGTTGTTCAGCTGATATGTGCCCAGTTTGCCACAGGGGCTCTCAACCCGCTGAGCGACGCCGCTGAGCACGATCTATCAGTACTCGGCGCTAGGACATCCAGGACCTTCCTCAATCCAGCCCTGAACGTCTTGTGGAGCCACCAAAACACGATTTTGAACCTACTCAGGTGCATGCCAGCAGATGTATGGGATGTAACGAAGGAAAAGATCGAAGCTTATGGCGCAACAGTTACGACACATATTGTGAGGACCACGCCCTGATTTTCGTCTGTCATCGAACTAAGTACCAGGAAATTATTGCAGCGTCTGCAGAGAACGATAGTCTCTTCGGACTGGGAGAGACCTCTGTTCTACGGCCATCGTGTCAGGTCTTTTAATGGACTTATGGACCTCCTCCTTAAAGACACAGCCTTCTTCGAGACTCTAACTCTGTGCCTTCCGGGTGATTTTATATTTCCCAATCTCCAAAAGATGGATTGGTACCCCCAGCTTCCTGAAACATTCCATCACGTCCATTTGTTCCTCGCGCCCACGCTCAAGCAGCTTTTCCTTTCCAGTATCAAAACGTTCTCGCACCTATCCGTCCTTTCCAATCTCGCTGTCAAATGCCCTGGTCTAACGACAGTAACAATAAAGGCCCATAATATGGACGACTTGGCGCTTCCAATAATATCCGGTCTCGTGCGCGAATTGCGGCATATCGAATCGCTGGACGTGCCTGGGCTGGATGAAGCAGCGTTTGTCTATTTAGCTCAACTCCCCGGCCTCAGGTCTTTAGGGTTTCATTCGGCAGAGACGCCCAATCCATTCTTTCAGTCTTCCGGCAACTCTGTTGATTTCCCGGCCCTCATCCACCTCACTACACCGACTATGGAAGCTGCCACCGCGCTTCTTGCCATTTTGCCAAACCGTCCTTTCCAGACGTTATCGATCAACAGAACCCCAATTCATTGCACTCATATTGCTCGTCAATTCTATTCCGCCTTGGCGAAGCGCTGTTCACATTCGTCTCTCCGAGCCCTAAATATTCACTATGATGCCTGGGAAAACAATGACGATGCACTCAGCGCCGAAGACATTGCCATGTACTCCGTCGGTCCCGATATCCTCCTTCCTCTATTCTCTTTCGACCATCTCGTCAACGTGGTCCTCGTACACCCAGTTGGGTTTGACATCGATGACGCCACAGTCCGCACCATGGCTCGTGCTTGGCCTCGGATTGAAATATTGTCGCTCAGAGCGGGGCCCTTGCGACATGTTCCTCCCCGCCTCACCCTCGAAGGTCTCTCTGCGTTCGCAGAATATTGCCCACACCTGTCTACGCTGGCAATTACGTTCGACGCCACGTTGGTCCCGACTAGACGAGGCCCTACGAAAACGGCGAGAGTGTGCCAAGGGAGCCTTCGCACCCTCGCCGTCTCTCTCTCACTCATCAGTAAACCCGGGCGCGTCGCTGTATTCTTGTCCGCAATATTTCCCGAATTGAGGTGGATCGAGACTTGCTATGATGATACACTGGACGCAGAGGAAGGCGAGGTGGACGTGATCATACCAGAACCAGAGACAGTGGCTTCCCATGCGCTCTGGAAGGATGTGGAAGACGCCTTGGACAGCGATTTTTAGCACTCCCAGCCACCCTCTCCTTCCGAGTCGCCCCCTGTTTTTTTTTACAGAGTGTCCTCTTTGGTCCGTAGCTCAGATACTGTCAACCGTCTAGATCTAACGCCCGGCCTGATCAGTCTTGATTTGATGTCGGATTCACTCGGAAACGACTTTTCTTGTTGCTCTTGCCGGATCGTTGCCCGCATTCTTCACCCGCAGCAGATATTCCACAGATGTCTAGTGCGTCGGTTACAAATTCTGTCTTGGACTTCTACATAAAGTCTGGGCCCTTGAATCTGAAATATGACTATGGTCGATAATCAGTTTTGCCGAGAAATGGGTCCCAACTAGAATACAATAAATTTGTGACGAGGCCTTGCGTGAGCGGGGCTCCATGCCTCCTCGGTTATATATTAGAGGGGTACCACGCACGCGAACGCACACTGCAAAATGGGATGCGTCAGGCCATCTCAAACTGTTTCGCCCACTTTCAGTTTCGGCCACAAATTATTTACCACACATACTGTGCCCGAAATAATTGTTTTCAGGAACCATTTCACTTGCCTAAAAAATAAATTTCAGGAGCCTCAAAAACCTTAAAAGAAGCGCTTTCAGACGGAGCGAAGATTGGTAACGCGGCTGAAATGGTATCTGAAATTACTTCAGGCAGTTTACTTCTTGTCTAACTGGTTACTGAATCTAGCAGTTTCGGAAACATTTTGAGATGCGCTTAAGCATCCCATTTTCCCGTGCGATTTATGCATTACCATGTTCCTAGTCCAAAAACCGTGGTCGGTTTGTCGTAAAGTGATTGATATATTACAATACAGTATATCGAATCCCTAATGGTCACAAGGATCTGCCTGACCGAGCTCGGGGCTCTCCAGCGATGCACGGTGGCTGTTTTTCTATTTGATTCAGGCCGTTATACGCATAGAGGAGGCGATGGTCTCCAGACTCCGAGATCAGGGCTCTAAGTTCTACCGCGTCTCGTCAAGCCTGACTTTAATATCGTTCACAAGTGTTCTCGAGGCTACTGTTTATCGATCTCGATCGACCTAAGAGTTAATAGCCATGGGCAGCAGTCTCGTCGATGGATCCGGCTCCGAGTCAAACAGAAATGATCAAACCTCGGCAACTCCCATGTGGCGGTGCGCTCGTATTAATGGTTGTCGAGGGTGACGTGACTGTGACACTTTTCCTCAGTTCTTGCTTCCTCGACGCCAACCTCCATATATGCATCGCGCCTTCAGGATTTCCGAGATCCTCCAGCTCATTTTTTTGATGAGTTTACGGTCCAGCCCCCTCCGAGTTCATATTATGCCAGGGATCATGTTAATCCACCGATTCTTGCGGCGCTTGCTAGGACATGCCAGATATTCCAAAAACCAGCGCTTGACCTGCTATGGCGGCGGTAGGAAACTCTCATAAACTTCTTGGATTGCTTCCCCGATGGTTTATTTCAATGGGTGGTGGAGTATCCGTACGGATTCTTCAGAGGGACCCGGATTATTGTCGACCTTGTGCGTGCACGATCCATTCGCTCACGGTGACATTGAATATCGATGTCCCGATTTCTGTGTAGCGTATTCTTCGCCCCATATTGGATGAAGACTGGAAGCGCCCCCTCTTCTACTCCCCCCGCGTCCGAGAGTTATCTCTCTGTAAAGAGCTGCGGACGGTATCATGGGCCGACCTGTTCACACCATACATCGGACATCTGTTTCCCAACTTGAAGAGCCTGAAAACTCATCCATAAATTCTACCCTCCGTCGACAAATTGCTCCTGTCCCCGCGCATTGAGCGAATTGCCCTCGACTTCGGTACCGAACTTGCGGCGTTATCCCGAATTCTTTCCATCTTGACACAGCATTGTCCTTCGTTGACGGACATCACCATCTCAACAAAGACCTCCGGAGAATCAGTTCACGCTGTCTCCACCTTCATCCGGAGCTTGGCGCGTGTCGACCGCCTTTCTGTGGAAAATCTCGACCGAGCAGCTTTCGAGCACCTCGGACGGCTTCAGACGGTCAAGACATTTATCATTGCCGACCCATATGTTCCCAGTGGTGTTCCGCTTTTTTTGGTAGAACCCATTTCCCTGTATTCATCCCTCGAATCTCTGTATTTCGGCCCAACCACCCTCGAAAATGTCACGTCCTTCATCGACATCATCACCAGTTGCCCACTGCAGATCCTCGAAATTGAGGAGCTCCGTTTTTCTCCGACAAGAGATGCCGCCAGCCTGTTTTTTGCCGCATTGGCCGCTCATTGTTCACATCAGTCCCTCCGACAAATCGAGACAGGGACTTCGAGGTCGCGTTGGATGTCCGACAAAC